GACAGGGTAGGAAAATAAGTCATTCAAATTTCACAGTGCAGTTTCTAGCCCACTGAAGTCCTCGAGAACAGCCACTTCTGCCCAAGAAGCCGCAGTTCTGCCCACTCAGAAGCTTCACAAAAGCTTAAAGTACATTGAAGCTCTGCCAGAATCAACCTTTGGTATCGATTTAAAGTTGAAACTTAGCAATCAGAGTTGTCAACATTCCAGTCCAGCCCGGACAGTTCCAATCCAGCCCGGACAGTTCCAGTCCAGCCCGGACATTTCCAGTCCAGCCCAGAACAGAGCCTCCCATCCAGGCAGAAATGGAGTTCCAATTGTATCTTCATCTCTCTAGCATGAGTATTTATTGTTATAGTTTTGTAAAAGGCAGTTCTGCCTAAAAACAGTTTAAATTTCATCAGTTCTGCCTAAAAACAGTTTAAATTTCATCAGTTCTGCCTAAAAACAGTTTAAATTCCATCAGTTCTGCCTAAAAATAGTTTAAATTCCATCAGTTCTGCCTAAAAATAGTTTAAATTCCATCAGTTCTGCCTAAAAATAGTTTAAATTCCATCAGTTCTGCCTGAAACAGTTTAAATTCCATCAACCATTCTGGCCAGAACAGCCTTTTTATACTGAGATAAATTGTTAAAGTCCTCACCCGTCTGAGGCAAGAAAAGAACTTACTTGGGAGATATTCCTCACCCAAATTCACAATCGTTTGTTTGCAGAAATCAGTAACTTGGGGCGCAGGTTATCTACTCCAAACTAAGTCTGCTAGAATTTTTATTGCTAGCAGTGGCACGCTCGCACACCAAAGAAAGCTGACTTGTCGACCAGTTTATGGTTCTCAAGGCAGTGGGGAACTTTGCCTTTCCATCACAGGAGTGAACGCAAAACGGGCAAACACTTTGCCTTGCCTTTATCGTGTTCACAAGATTTTTGTGTTCTTTGTCTTGTCTTTGTTGTGTTCATAAGTTTCTGTGTTCTTTGTTTTTGCCTCTGTCGTGTTCACAGGGCTTCTGTGTTTTGCCTTATCTATTTTTAGGTTTGGTTTTGCTCTTGCCTTTGTTTTGCCTTGCTTTGCATTTGCCTCTAGTATGGTGTACCATGCCTTGCTTGTCAAGTTGGGCATGTGAAACATCTTTTAGAAGTAGAATATTTTAAAAGTATAGCCACACGGCTTTACTCTATAAATAGAATATTTTAAGAGTTTATTGCTCGACTTTATTTAATAAATAGAATATTTAAGGGTATACTTGCTTGGCTATACTCTATAAACATAATAATTTAAGAGTATACTCGCTCTAGAAATAGAATAGAATATTGTAGACGTACAGTCTGTAAATAGACTATTTTAAACGTACAGCCGTGCGGCTGTACTCTGTAAATAGACTATTTTAAACGTATAGCCGCACGGCGGTACCCTTTTGAAGTATAGCCGACCGGTTATACTCTTTAAATACCATAATCTTGATTTCTCTTTTCTAATTACTTTATTTAGTAGTTATATTTTAATTATTAATTACTTAGTGAATAATTAGTATTTAAATGTTTTATTAAATTAAATATACTAAACTGGTATATAAAAATTTTAAATTTAAAAAAAAATACACAAAACCTCCCCCGACGAAATTTCGTCAGCATAGATCTATCCTGGCGAACGTTTGTCGGATTAGAGTTCTCCCGACAACTTTTCGTTTGCAAAGGTTTGTTTCGTTGGGAGAGGTCTAATCCGGCAAATATTGCTGGCATAGATCTGTGCCGACAATATTTCATCGGGACAGATTTTCTTGCCTTTATATATATATATATATATTTGTATTTGATTTATTTATAAATTTTAAACATATAAAATTAGTTTCTTTACTTTTATTCCTTGGCCAACATCTTTAATTTAATCTATGTATTTTGCTTACTGTACGAACATAATATTTTAGAAGTATAGCCGTGCGGCTGGACTCTTTAAATAGACTATTTTAAAAGCCGCTCGGCTATACCGTTTAATTACAATACTTTTGAAGTATAGCCGCCCGGCTATACTTTGGCCCAAGCCATCTTTTTGACTATTTAATATACAATATTAAATGCCCAAATCAAACTTGAAGCCCAATTTACTTGGGCCAACTTCCATTTATAAAAACCTCATTTTTCCTTCTTTGTACCAATGTGGAACAAAAGTCCTTAAATTTCATTCAAACTTCCAACACTAACCCAACAATAGATTTTGGTTCACCTCTCTTGCAATTGCAAACCTTACTGTAAAACTATGGAGGACCCTGGCGCAGGACACTGACATGTAAGATTAGGGGTTTAACGTTGTTAATAGTGGCACGCTCGCAACTCACACATTCATTCTCAAGCCAATTCTTGGGTATGGACATTTTCAGTGTAAACAGAAAGGTTCCTTAGTAAAAGCGTCATCCATGGCCACGTTGCGTATGCCTTATTCTCCCACCACGCGTACGCATGCAAGTTTCCAACCACCTTCTCCTGCTTTAAATTGGCTTTACGCTGCGTCATGGCCTTACAAAACCAAAATCCACCAAAGAACCAGCAACGTCCACGGCTCACACACAACAGTACAAGTACCCGGCGAGCCAACCTTGACGTACACTGCCCTCCTGGAAACCGCCACTGCTGTCATCCAAGGCTTCAGCCCAATCAACAATTTTGTGAAAACAATTTGAAATTTAATTCACCGAGTGCTAGTGTAATTTCCAAAATCTCATGATTTTATAGAAACAAAAAAAAAAAATTCATGAGTGTTAGTGATTCTGAGCTACACAACGTTACTAGTGATACTTATCCTTCCAAAATCCCCTTTATTCAAATAATGATACAAAAGAAGGCATTCAATGTGGCCCATATATATATAGTCATATATGACAAGATGACAGAACAAATAAGTACCTTCTAACCAAAATAGTTTTGTTCTCTCTGTATACTTGCAACCGGTAATATAGTTTTATTCTTTTGTACTTTGTCCTTGAAAAGTTTCACAATTGTTTCGTTCTCGTGTACATATATTTTTCTTCTTTCTCACTCTTAAGTGTTTATTATTGAGAAAGGAAAGAAAATACGCCTGGGAAGCTGCAAGGCAACATCTGCTCATAATCTTGCCGTTTGTTGGCTAAAGGTAGGATCAATGCAAACAACAACCTGCAACAAGGTAACAGCAAGGAAAAGGGCATTTAGGGGGAAGTTGAGTGGCCACGATCACCATAGTGAGAGTGAGAGAAGTTAAGGATATGACAGAATAATTACCTTTCCTACACTTTTACCAGAATGGAGATATTCCACGGCATCTGCAACAGAATGTACACCCAAAAATTGTTTTGGGTCTAAAGAAACCTATAAAATTGAAGGCGGCATACAATCAGGAACACCGATGATTCGAGTTCAAGAAGTTGGTGGATAAGTACGAGCAGTAAATTTAGTTGGTGCTTTATGTAGATATATTTACCTTCAGCTTTCCCATGGAGAAAAGATGAAATAGTTTATCCAGATGTTCTTGCCAGAAGTGACTGTATTGCAAGAGGAAGAAACCAGCCTGAAAAGATTAGCATTGTCATATCAACTATTTTTCGATTTCTTGACGTTTAAACTCGAGGGGATAAATGAGGTAAATAACGGCCTATTAAATGACCAATTTAGTATTTAGCAGCTACATACCACAGTTTGGCTTTTCGCTAAGAGCTTTTCGCAAAGTCCTGGGTAGTTTGATGGCTTCCACCCATGCTCTCCTTGATACTGAGTCCAGAATGAATCATGTTATGGGAATAAATGAAAACCAACAACGTCAAACCCACGAAATTCAAGAGCAGACAAGAAAAACTTCAAGTGAAAATACTGAAGTGTTCTTCAGGAAAGTATGAACCTGTACATACATATCCATGTGAATGTGATCAATCCATCCTAGAAATTTTATATAACCTCTGCATGCATGGTCAAGACTGTTGATTGGATCTTATATTGATTTCAATATTTTTCTATATTTCAATAATTCTATTCAAATGTCAGCATATCAATTGTCAAGAAAGATGATCATAGTGTAAGTGTAACAACGTTTATGCTTGCATGAATACACAACCTGAGAAATCATTCCGATCACTATGAGTCGTCCATAAACCGCAAGAGCATTCAGGCACAAATCGAACATGTCACCACCTACAGACTCATAGATAATGTCAACGCCTTTGGGAAACTCCTTCTTTAGAACCTAGAGAACTGAAAGTTATCAATAACCCCATGATTTGTGCTTAAATGACTTTAGAATCAAATTATTGCATTGCTCCTTAAACTGAATCAGATCAAAAGACATTTAGTTCTTACTGTGCGTGTTCCTTTATACATTATGGGTCCATTTTCACCTTACCAATATTCCACCAAATACAACTAAGAAGCAATTTCGTAAATCAACGGGAAAGATCCAAAAGACATACAGTCTTGATATCTTCAGCTTTATAGTCTATGACTCGATCCACCCCCAATTCTTTCAAATGCTTCGCCTTTTCTTCACCTCGACAAGTTGCAACCACAGTATTTCCAGCTAGCTTTGCAAGCTGTGCGTATAAAAGACTACTAAGAGTAATGTTTGAGCAAAGAAAGACAAGGTTGACATCATATGATGTCAGAATTCAACCGGCAAAATTAAACAAATTTTTTTTATATTAAAAAAAAAAAAGGATGACAATCCTTCTCGAAGGGAACTTGGAAAGAAATCTAGGGTGGTCTTTTGGATTACAATCTTAGGACATAAGGAATACACCTTTTATTTTCTAAATGTAGTTGGAAAAAAGTCATAGTTTTCTAGCCTTTCCAACGCTGTTTAAATTCAATCTCCAAATGCACCACAAACTAGGTTATAACTTTTTCCTGAGTGATTGGATTCCATAATCTTTAGGAAACTGAGGTTGAAGTGGATTTTCTGAAAGAATGAAAGCGGTGGCCTAAATTAAATGCCCTGCTGGTGCTTTTGTGCCTACTAAAATCTGGAAAACTAGAGAACCTAGGAAACTAACAAATAAATTGGGAAACTAATCATTTCATCTACCCTTCTTCTTCTTCTTCGTCTTCTTCTAAGCATGCATGTCATAAAGAGCTATTCCTATATTTGAAACCAAACCTGGACTGCAAATTGTCCAGTCCCTCCAGCAGCAGCAGTAACAAGAACTACTTTTCCAGATTCCAGTTGTCCCGCTCCCGCCTAGAGGTTCATAATAAAAGAAATTGTAAGACAAGTGGTGCATCTCATTGAATAATCTAACACAAACTATTAAAAACAATGAAGGCTACAGAACAAATAATATAATGCACAATGGCTAGAAAGTTATTAGAAAAAGGGCATGACATTATCATCTGAATGTGACCACCAAGAATTCAGCAAAGGAAATAATATGCAATTCTGATACACAGATACATATATGTGCACTAACAGTTTTTGAACTACACATTATTTTCCAACTACACATACGCACACATTTAACCTTTTCTAGAGCGATTGATGCAGTCAGCCCTGAAGTAAGCATAGCGACAACTTCTGGATCTGGTCTTTCCACAGGAAGGATGTGTTTTGAAGGCACCTAACTCAAGTGAAAAGCTCATTAGTTATTACACTAGTTATTGATAGTAAAAATAAACGAAAGAAAGATCTCAAAAAATAGAATAGAATCATGATTAGTGTAAACTTGGAAACATTCCTGACATTACATATGAAAGCACTTCTTAGTAAACATTGAAAGAAAAAAAGAACAGTATTCTTCAGACAGTGTACCATCGTGAATTCTGCATAACTTCCATAAGTCATGATTGCAGCTGGAGTACCAACTTTCAAGTTAGTGACAGATTCCCCAACTGCTGCGATTATCCCCACAGCCTGCAACATTGCAACATACTTTATCAACTAGGCATCATAGATAGCAATAACTTCATAAACCTAAAGGCCCTCAACTGCATGAGTGCTTATAAGAATGTCAAAAATTATATATTGTCCTGCACCTCGAAACCACAATCAAATGGAAGCTGGGATTCAAGATCTTTGTTGCTTCCACTAAAATAACGTCCTGAGCTGTAATTTACCTACCAAAAATAAGTCCTTGTTAGAGCATATATTAATGTGCTTTACAAAAAGAGAGAGAAATCTTCAATATCATTATACTTGGTAACAATTATCACATCATAAACTTACATCACTAGCATTTACGCCAGCATATATGACTTTCACAAGAACGTGGTCTGGTTTAGTGGGTAATCTCAAAGGTGCGCGCACTATGCCAGTAGCATTACGAAAATTGTGACTCAAGGTGTGAACAACTCTGGAGAAAAAGAACTAAAATTAACTACCAAATACTAAAAACAAAACCACTTGAAACAAAAGTTAGTTTAGGCTTGCTTCTGCCATATAATGTTAAGCGAAATATGAGAACCGTTTGAACAGATAATAAATGAAACATGAATGGAAGAGGTGTCGGCCATACTTTATATTGAGCATTTTACACATAAGCAATGTAATAACGGTCAGAAAGTTTTTCTTTCACAAAAATTTTGCAATCAAAGGATTTCGTCAAGTTAAGTGAGGAAAAGTGGACTACAGTGAACAGATTTATGTAAGGGCTCTTGATGAAATGCAAAGCTTCATTTTCAGCCTACACCAACAAAAGTAAAATTCTGACTTTGCTAAACAAATTAAATTTATGGATTGACTATAATATATATCCAACCGTATAAGAAAATGAACGTGTATCTCCTCATAACTTTGTGGAATGGGAGGAAAATAATGTTTGATGTATTATTACTAACAATTTCTCAAAACTTTGTGGAAGTTGAGGATTCAAAGGAGCTTGGAATGGAGCATTTGTCGCAGCTCTTTTCGTCTGGCTAATCAAGTATTTTGCTTCTTCTGCGGGAGTTGGCCAATATTCCATGCCCCTTCGATTGGTAATCCATAGGCATGAACCAGCTTTACTCTCATCAGTAATAAGCTCAAAAGCACCTAAAATGCATAACAGCTTTTATTCAATAAACATGGTGGGTTAAACAATAAACAATAGCATCTATACAATCTAAAAGAAAGACTTCGACCCATAACTATGAAGTCAAACAATCATATAATTTGTCTCCTCACATGATTACTAGAATTACAACCTTCATCAAAAGAAAAGAGAAACAGAAAGCATACCTTTCACTACCATTTCCATAGGGACAAAGCCGCCCATTATACTAACAAATTTAGAACCCGCCTTTAAGCCCATGTCAGTTCTTTCAACAAACTGCTCAAAGAAGTTGACAATAATTTTTTACTTAAGATATTCCTTTGAATCTTATTTCAGTTGGGTTTAAGTTACAATCTTACTTCAGGACAAAGCACATTGATCCGAATCCCTTGATGCTTGTAGGGAACCAGAGATCTAGTAAACTGGACAACACCGCCTGCAAAAACATTATTCTATGATTGTCAATTTATCCATGAAAGTGGCACTAACAAATATCTCTGCACGCACATGTTAGGTGTACTTAAGTTTATCTCTATTCATTGATGCTCCAAAAAAATGGGTATAGATTGACCAAAAAAACAATTTCGGACAGGAAATCAGAGACAAAGCTACTGCATATAGAACAAACCTTTTGAGCCAGAGTAGATTGGGTCACCATAAAGCGGGTAAAGACCTGCAGCAGAACCCATATTGATAATTACGCCAGGCTTTTGCATCGCTTGCATGGTTTTAATCTGTTTGAAACATAGTTGATTCATGAGAGATGAGACACACTAATGTAGTAAAAAATATATAAGTTCAGAAGCATAATAACAGAGAGAGAAACTAATAGAAGTGGCTCTGAGTAATCCTCAACACAAAACATTTTTTCTCCTATTTTTTAACAATCTAATATCACAAGCACGACTGGTATATATCAAATTTCAACACTACTTCCCACAAGGTATGATTCAAAAGTTTGGAATTCTGATCAACATCATAAGAAATCTTTTTCTTTCTAACGATCAAGTAACCAAGAATTAAGACGAAGAGCAGTTTATTATTCACTTTCAGAAGCCCAAATTGATACGACTAAAACATCAGGAATGACAACATATTCTCACTCATCACTATGGACTAAACTTTGATAGGCAATGGCCCTGAATAGAACTTTATGCAGCAGACTCACATTAGCAGATATGGAAGGTACAGGTATCAGGAAAACATAGTCCAAGTTCAAACGTACCGCAAGGCGAGTGCAATCAATAACTGCAATCAGATTCAAGTTAACTGTTAGTCTCCATGAGCGACTACCGTCAGTTTGATCCTTATGGAATGGTATGGGATTAATGATGCCTGCACTGTTAATACAGATATCCAATCCTCCAAATGTTGCTAAATGTTTCTCAAACGCAGCAGCTATATTTCCTGTCCATCACATAAAGAATAATGTAATTATCTGAAAGGTACCATCTAATCCAAATTAGTAAAACTGCACATATAGAATGAATGAGAACCAAGCCTCTTCAAATTTCTAGTTGTGAGTATGAAATGCAGATACATGTACAGATTTCAAATCAAACATGCCTCAAAAACAAAATCTTATGATTTTTTCTTCTTTTCTATGTCCAAATGTTTTTATTCATTGAAAAATAAGACCCTTGTGAAATATGTACGTAAAGGAAATAATATTTGACAGCAGGGGTTTGTAATAAGTATTATTTTATGGGATTTTTGTAGAAATGTCACCTGAACTTATACCTCAGTTTCAATTTGTCACCTTAAAGAAAAATTTATGAGAAATGTCATCTTAATTTTTCAAAATCCATGATTTGTCATCTGACTTTAAGACCATCCAATTTTCCATCCATTTTTAAAGGTACTTTAGTCTTTCCATTTTCAAGGGAAAAAAAAAAAGAGACCTCTCTCTTTCTCCCCCACCCGCCCCAAAAACACATCGCATAGGACCCCCCTTCCCCTCTCTCTCTCTCTCTCTCTCTGAGCATGTATAAATTTTTTTATGGTGTTCATTGAGCATGTTTGAAGTTTTCAGATACCTGATTTAAAACTACTTAAGCTTCCCACCCAAAATCCAACCCCTTTCTTGTCTTCATAGTTTCATTAACTTACACCACTGTGTTTTTGTTGAAGGATCTAAAGTTTGCTTGGTCACTGGCTACCGAGTTGTTGGTTTGGTAGATGTCCTTCCACAAATTTTTAATATGCAAATGAAAAAATACCAAAATGAAAAAAGAAGAAGAAAAAGGTGGACTCGATTTGGGTGGGTTGAGAGAATTTGTGTGTGGAGGGTAGGTGTTCCATGGTAGAGAGAGAAGGATTAAGGAGAAGAGGGAGAGGGGAATGGAGGAAGGGGCTGTGAAGAGGGGAATGGATTTCAAGGTGGGTGGGGTTGGTTGGAGTCGTCGGTGGTGCATAAGGGATGGGGGAATGTGAGATTATTTTTTTTTTCAATTTTAATTGTTTAAAAGATATACAATTTTTTTATATGAATTTTCCATTTTTAAAATACCTTTGAAAATTGAAAGACTAAAATATCCTTAAAAATGGATGGAAAATTGGATGGTGTTAAAGTCAAATGACAAATCATGGATTTTGAAAAATTAAAGTGACATTTGTCTTAAATTTTTCTTTAATGTGATAAATTGAAGCTGATGTATAAGTTCATGTGACATTTCTACAAAAATCCCTTATTTTATTATTCTAAAAATCTATAGGTTCGGAGGTCTAACCCGGCCTGCATGAACCAAGTGACAATTTCCAATACAACCCAACTTGAAACCCACATGGAAAATTAGCCGGTCAATCCGCTAAATTAGCCGGTCATTAAATTTTTGTGTCATTTTCAGGTCAACCCACCATGACCTATTTAATAAATAGGTGAGTTTCAAGTCAACCCATCAACCCGCTAAAATACATATGTAACTCGTTTAATAAACGGGTTGTGTCATGTGTCAACCCGTGTAATACCCATAACTTGTTTCTATGTTTCTTCTTCATTTTCTTTATTTTCTTAAAAAAAATTTAATTTTTTCATTTCTCTTTCTCAATCTTCATACATACATAGGTAAATGTAATCACAAGTTTTTTTACATTAAAAAAAAATAATTAATAAAATTGCAATTACTTGATGACCTTGTGAATTTGAGATGTAGGCCTTTGTTGTTTTTGGGCTTTCTTTCTTTTTATTTGTTTTTACTTATTGCCCAATACTTAATTATGCAAGTGATTCTTGTATGGGCCATGCAAGTTATTCTTTCTTTTTAGGAATTTTTGTACAAATGTCACCTAAACTTATACTTCAATTTCAATTTGTCACTTTTCTTTAAGAGAAATGTCATATTAATTTTTCAAAATCCATGATTTATCATCTGACTTTAACACCATCCAAATTTCCATCCATTTTTAAGGGTATTTTAGTCTTTCCATTTTCAAGGAAATAAAAAAAGGAGACCTCTCTCCCTTTCTCCCCCACCGGCCCTCAAAACACATCGCACAAGACCACTCATCCCCCCCTTTTTATCTCTCTCTCTCTTTGAGCATGTATACATTTTTTTAGGGTGTTCATTGACCATGGAAATGGAAAAATACCAAAAAGAAAAAAGAAGAAGAAAAAGGTGGACTCGGTTTGGGTGGGCTGAGGGAATTTGTGTGTGGAGGGTAGGTGTTTCATGGTAGATAAAGAAGGAGGAAGGGGATGTGAAGAGGGAAGGGGGAACGGATTTCAAGGTGGGTAGGGTTAGTTGGAGCCACCGGTGGGGCATAGGAGATGGGGAAAGGTGAGAAATTTTATTTTTTTCAATTAAATTGTTTAAAAGATATATAAAAAAATTATAATGAATTTTCCATTTTTAAAATACCCTTAAAATGGATGGAAAATTGGATGCTGCTAAAGTCAGATGACGAATCATGGATTTTGAAAAATTAAGGTCTTAAACTTTCTTTAAGATGACAAATTGAAACTGAGGTATAAGTACATATGACATTTCTATAAAAATCCCTTTCTTTTTATTTGTTTTTAATTTTTACCCAATTATGCAAGTGATTTTGAAAAAATAAAATAACATAATAAACTTATTTGGTCTACCTTTTTAGCTTGCTAGTTACTAGTTGCTACCACTTATTGACCTAAAAAAATAAAGAGCTACTAGTTGCTATCACACATATGGAGAATATAAAGTAGAGGCATGTCATCAATTCAAGTCTATATATATTGCAAGGCTTTAGAGAACATTCTTATTTTATTCTGAAAAGAATTACTTTTTTAGTTAAATTATGATAAGAAATCAAATATAGCAATCCTGATCATTTGTTAAACAAGTCATTAATTAGGTAACTTGTTGAATAACCTACTTAACACGACTCGAACTCAACACGACATGTTTATTAAATAGGTCGAATTTGAGTTGAGCATTCTTAACATGTTTATTATCCTGACACAACACGACCATTGCCACCGTATATGTTGTTAATTACTATCTTTATACATGCCTTAGGTACTTTTTTGTCTCCCTGTACAATGACTGGTGTGCACAGTGGTATTCATTCCTAAATCAGTCTTATGTACAACCAGATGACTTACCTGCATCAGTCACGTCGCATTTCACAAACAAGGCAGATGGAAAACCTAAACTGGTATGGAACTTGGCATTCTCCTTCTGAACAAGGGATGCAACTTCCTTTCCCTTTTCTTCAGATAAATCGACCACCGTCACAAATATTCCCTTCGCTCCAAGAGCCAAGCTAAGAGCTTTTCCTGCATATTAAGAGTCAAAGCAGAACCAGTCTTCTAGCTGTTCAAGTTTGATGACAAAGATTAATATAGCAGTAGATGATGGTTTACCAATTCCAGAAGCTCCACCAGTGACCAGAGCTGAAAGGCCGGGTTTTAGCTCCATTACTTTTCTGCGGAAATTGACCGTTGAATTTGAAAGAGCTGATGATGATCTTAGCTGTGGTTGAGTTTTGTTGTCCTTGGAATGGCTATTTTGTCCAGAGAATTCTAGTTGCTTCTTGAGTTATGTTGTCACCTTGGAATTCAAGGCTATTTTATCCACAGAATTTTTAGTTGCTTCTAGAGTGATGTCTGACATGAATATGATTGATAAGATAGTGTTGGGTTCCGGTAATTTTTCTTTTCTTTTCCTTTTTTAGCTGAAGCACCTTCGTGTTTCCAATTTTTATTCTAATTTCATTTTTGTTTTATTAGGGAGACCAACCTTAGAAAGGACATGAATATTGAGAAGCTGCATCGACGGTTGCTCATATACTCGAATCTACATTTGAGAATAGGAACTCCTTGTGATTGATAAAAGTCCTCCACATCTTGTGTCTAATTGGAAGGGCATGAATCCAATTAGGTGAACATGGTACAATTTATTCACAGTTTTAAATACAACTGCATAAACATAGAGGACTTGTTAGCCAATTTGCTTGAATTTCCGTTGAAACTCTTTGTAGAACTCTTTTAAAGTGTTTTAATGATTAATCACTTGCTTGCATGAATAAAACAAAGCAAGGGTTGGTGAAACATCACAATCAAATAATACAAGTGTCCAATATGACAACAAAAAAACAAAGCAAGGGTCCAGCTTAGCTGAAACGGTGTCAAATTGAAACGACCTTTTGGGAAACCATAAAACAATAATGATAACGAGCAGCCATATGGGGAAAAGTAAATAAAGAAATGGGAGTGTTTATAACTGGGAAATGTATCTTTTAATCTATACCAATATAAACAGAGAACTTTACATGGACAAACCAAAAGGGATTACACAATATGCCATTAACTGGCAAGCTTAAAAGCATCAATGAACAAACCGTAAGTGAATCCCATTTTGAAGTTGTTGAGAAGAGCAACAGGGAATGTTACTTTTGGTCGACTGTAATAAAATTTGGTCACATACTCTGTCAGGAGAACACACACTACTGAAGCAATAACATCGTTGACTCCTAAAGCTCCAAATGACAGAGATATTGTTTGTGCAACATAAAAGCCACCCAACAAAGAGATTCCCCCAAAGAGAGCCCTACGAGATGGACTTCGAAAATAGTTCCTTGAGAGCTCTGGCACATTTCTGATGATATCAACTAGTCTCCGAGACCCTCCAGTCTCCTGCACAGCCCGAACACGAAGAAACCCTGGTGAGGGTCTCAAAGTAAAAACTCCATATTTCCTATGTGATGCTCTGTTTTGAGGACTCAATCCAAATTTATGGAGACCTGTAGAGACCAAACTCAAGGAATGTGCCATTTTCTGATTTAGATTCCACTATCAAAACCAACCAAAATGCCTGCAAAATGAAATGGAAGCAACACTTGACAAGGCAACCCCAGCAGAAACATAAACAAGACATGAAAAAAGAATCATTTCATAGCACAAAAGGAGAATGTGGTTCAGTCAATAGCAATAGTCCAAGAACTCCAATGTGAATTCCTACCTACTTTGTTTTCTCAAAATTTTCCATAAAAGAAAATTCCTCACATAATTTGTTAACCATTGATTAGTTAATATTGTCATGTTTGAGTCACATCTATCTTAATTGGATTGATTCAAATACTTCCCACATCTTGTCGATTTTCACTATCAACAATCAATTACGTGTTACTGTATTCATTAAACAAAGCATAACATACTTAAATCTGTCCAAAAACAGCTATACACATATCCCTCTAGCTCCTTCTGTATTTTCTCATTTAAAAAATAAAAGCTTAAAGCTGTCATTGACATTGTGGAATCACATTCTGTCAAAACCACTATTGCACTAGTTCAATAGGATCCAAAATTCAGAAACCACAAAATTAGTTTGATGTGCAGGAACTACAAAGACTTCAGCATCCTATAGAGGACTGTCAAAAAATGAATTTCATCATCACTGTAGTGTAGCTTAAACCCCACCACCAAAAGCACTAGACTTCTCAAAGAACAATGAGACGCATGCTGGAAACAGAAGAATTAACCAAACTCAATGCTTCTGATAACAGGGCAAACTTCATCAAGGAATTATCTACCAAAAGCATGCTGGAAACAGAAGAATTAACAATTTTTATGGATCCATACAAATCCAGGCCTAATTATCATAACATGTGCTCCAAAGAAACTATATATACGTGATCAAAAAAATTAAAAAACTTATCAACATACATCCACACTATCTGATATTTAGAGCCTACATGTAGGTATAATGCTGACAATATTGCAATGAGCAGCACTTGGAAGCAAACCATACTTCATATAACCATACATTAACATGAGAATACCAAGCTCATAAATACGAGGAAAATGGATACGTTTTTATGATAATGGTAAGTTGCAGGAAAGATGACAGCGGCAGTCTCACAACACAACTTTGACGACGATTAGTTGCTGTCTCTAAGTTTTTACTTCCAAATACTAATGCACTACCATTCATCATGCCCAGAAAAGCAGACAAGTTCATCAAATAAAAATTTAATGGTAATACCAGAACACATAGGCTGTTACCTCAGCTAAAAGCAGCGGCCAACCAATAAAACAATCAAAGTCCAGAAATGTTGATATTATTGACAACCCATCATAGACTTCACAATTCTAAGTAAGACCCTATTGGGTTCCATGGATTTGGCATCGCAAGACCTGAGCTTGACATGGCCCTTGCAATGGCAGATCCAAATGTGCCCCAATATCTTGGGGCTCAGACTCAAAATTCAAATATCATTTAGCTGATGGTCAGAACCAAATCTACTTACCCAAGAAACCTCCTTTCAATCTCTACGGCGATGGCAGAGCCTGAAGCCGCCCAAAAGGTATCGTTGTCGCTGAAAGGCCCTAACCCAATAATAGATTTTGGTTTTCCTCTTTCTCTATCTCTCTGCAACTGCAATCCCTACTGTAAAACTATGGAGGACCATGGCGCTGGACTGTGATATGTAAGATTGTATACGCTCGGAAGTTCGGAGGAGACACTCCGCAACCAAAGCCTCAATTGTAAATTTTGGGTTTCCACCGCTACTTCAAGATCTTATCGTCAGTGTAAAACAGAGTACTTTGCTCTTTTTATCTCCACTTATGCTCATTTTTGCTTTTTAATACCTTTTAATCAATTTTGTTCTTTCTCTTTCCTATTCTACCCTTATCCTTGACATTTTAAACCAAAAAACCGAAAAATCACAAAAACCAACCGACAATTTACCACAATAAAACCGCAATCGCGGTAAACCGAACCGCATTTGCGGTATTAAGAACCGAACCGCATTTGCGGTTGTGGTTGCGGTATTTGATTTTCAAAACTTACGGTTACCGCAAACTGCAAAGTATAGTCGTACGAATGATGAAGTTGAATTCTACAAGGAAATGGAATATATAACAACTTGTAAGTAATTAGTTTATTTATGCTAATGTTATTTATGCTTCTTCTTATAATAAAATGTATTAAACTATATTGTTTTATTTGTAGATAACATTGATGCTCAAACAACACAACGGGGTTCTTCAAATCCACTCACCACCAACACTTGAGTTTGTAACTTTAGTTTGTAACATTGGTGCATTGCATTTTCCTTTTAGTTTGTAACTTTAATTAACTTTGAATTGAATTTTTCTTTTTGGTTGTAACTTTAATTCATTTTGCTTTGCATTTTCCTTTTGGTTTGTAACTTTAAAGGATTTGGAATTGGAATGCTTGAGAAGTTTAACTTTAATTGGAATGCTTGGAATTGTAACTTTAATTTTCTTAGGTTGTGAATGTTTGAGAAGTTGAGGAGATTGTGAATTTATATATGCTTGAGAAATTGAGGTTGTGTATTTATTTATTTATGTTGAGAATTTATATTTTTATGAATGGTTGAGAACTTGCGGTTTTAAACCGCTAATTCTCGGTAACCGACCGCAAAACGAGGCCGGTTTGAGGTTTCAAAAATCACCAAACCGCAAATAGTCGGTCGGTTTGCGGTTTGAGTAAAAATTTGCGGTTACCGAACCACAACCACCCCTGCCTTATCCTACATTAATTTCTTTTTACTTCACTTTTATATTAGTTCTTTTTCTTTATACTTAATTTTCCAACTTGCACTTCACTTTTATATTAGTTCTTTTTCTTTATTTCACTTTTATATCCATATTTTATAATTGAAGGATACGAAGGGAAATAGAAACAGAAAAATGAAAAAACAAAAAGACACGTCCTCAAGGAAAATCTGATTAAGAAGAAATTTTTTTTTTAAAAAAGTAAAATATCCCCACACGTTAAAGGACAACACATGCCCTTCTCTATACAAAATAAATGGGAGGGAACGTTCGTTATATCAGTTACAGCTCAGAAAAAATAATCAATTCTTGATTGCCGGTAGACTCCTTTCTTTATCAAACCATCATCTTTTTCACAGAACTCGAGGAACTCGCTTTGCTCTAATGGGGGACTCGGCGGAACAAATTCTTCAGGATCTTAGTGAAAGGAAAAGGACGTGGGGGAGTACACCACCACCTCATAATCATTTCCGACCAGCTCTGGAAGTTCCTCATCCTCGGGTGGTCAGTAACTTCCTTCTAAGCCATTGTTTAATTTCCAAGAATGTCAGAATTTCATACTTTCTTCTAAGTCATTTGTTCAATTTTCAAGAATATTAGGATTTCATAGGTTTTTAATTCTTTTGTCACAGGATGTGCTCAACCATAATAATCCTATTCTTATGCATCTAGGTGGGCATATGCTGCCGCCTCATGTGAGTTTAAGGCCAATGGCTATGGTTAGTCTAATTCGATTGTAAACCTTTTTTTTTTAGGGATATGATTTCCCCACTCTGTTTTTCTCCACTTACACTCCTTTTCGCTTCTTAATACTTTTTAATCAATTTTGTTCTTTCTCTTTCCTATTCTACCCTTACCATGCATTAATTTCTTTTTACTTCACTTTTATATTAGTTCTTTTTCTTTATACTTAATTTTTCAACTTGCACTCCATTTTCAGTATTTTTTTTCCTTCAATCGAGTAAGAAATTAAGGGTTTTTTTTCCCCTTTAATTGAGTAAGAAATTAAGTTTTATTTTTTTTCCTTTAATCACATAAGAAATTAAGTTTTT